GCGGGGGCGTGGCAGTAACAGAATAGAAAAGAAAAAGGAGACTCACTGGTGACATTTCTTCCTTGAGCGGTCACCATACATCCTATCAGCAACTGGAAAGATTGTTATCCTTGCTAAAAAAAACAATACTAACATTTCTGTTTTCCATGTGTGTTCCTAGCGGAAAGCTCATTCTCAGCTGCGTATCTCTGGGCTCATCCCATCAGCTTACTGGTGTGGGCAGGCACTGGTGGACATCCCTCTGAACTGGATCCTTCTTATCTCCATGTTTGGGATACTGCTTTCACAGAGTTTTCACATTTGGAAGCATCCTGGTACCCTGCTCTTTTTGGTAAATCTTTGGTTGATCACTTATAAAGAAATATCTCCTGAAAAAATGAGAGGGGAAACCCCAGAAAATACAGAACATATTTCATCCTGAAAACCAAAGAGAGAGAGCAATTGCCTCAGAATTGCTTGAAACCCTAATCCTTGCATATATTCAAATGTCCACTCTCATTCGAGCTGTGAAACGGGACCACGTTTTGCTGGGTATTCACATGAAAGCTTATAATTTTGATAGCATTTGAATTCAAGACATAACAAAATGTTGCCATTTCTGCCTGCACTTTTCTTTCAGAATACAGAAACGATCTCCCTGGCTGCATGCAGGAAAGAGACAGAATTTGCTCTAGGTGCAAAAAACAATTTTTCACAATGAAATTATAGGATCCTGGAGAAACGTGTTCCGTATTTTACCCTCGGTCCCTATCCCTGTCCCAAATAAAGCCTGAAACATTCTAGATGACAGCAATGCTTTTTCAGTAGTGTAACTACAGGTGGACGGGTGGGCAAGGCATGTCTGCTGTTCTGCATCCTCTTTTTCCTCCCTCTGGGGTCAGAGAGAAAATGCGCTGTTTACTTGGTAAACCGACTTTACTACAAAGTAAAAGTGGAATGGGCACATGATGCACAGTCCTACTATGTAGTAGTACGTCACTAAAATCCAAGGTAAAATTAATCCTTGAAAATTTACCAAGAGCAAACCAGCTTCCAATGATCTAGTGGCCATTGTGATAGATCTCCTGTGGGTGGATGGATGGCTTGGGAGAGAGAATTGTTTGCCTGCTCTTTATTACAGAGCAAAGCCCTGGATAAGCTACCTATAGTAATCATGTCTGTGTATCCCTATTAATGAAATGGAGATAATAAATCTTGCTCTTTACAAAATATTTTACACTTATTATGTTCTTTTTTTAATCCCTTGGCTCAAATTATTCCTATTCATAATTCAATCTAGGCTAGGTTGCTGCAGTTGTAGCTTTCTGATTGTCCGCGCCAGTTCACTTATCCCTAATGAAACCCTTTCTTTTTATAGTTCATAGGTCTTATTGGATCTGGAGCTTCTATCATCCTGTTGCTTTATTTAATTGCCTTCATATTTCGCAAGGGATGCAGCAGCTATATTTTGTCCTTTACTCTCGTAATGGTAAGCAAAGGGCACGCATGCTCTAAAATCTGTGAAGCAGAAACTCAGGGGAACCCTCTGTGCAGCTCCAGGACATTGGCAGTCATTTCAGAACAGAAATTATTCTATTTTGCACCTTATTTCAATCTCAGTCCTCTCCAGTCATTTGTGTTTTAACAAGTTGGGTACAATTTGGTTTGTTTTGGGCGTGGGGGTGAGTTTAATGGAACTCCAAAGTATTTTGCTAGTCTCATAGAAAATCTGTATTGTGTCTAAACTGTGTAACCTGGAGCCTTGCAAGAATATAGGCTACCTTGGATCTTAGCTTCTCAGTGGCGTGAACGGATCTCAGTTTGTATATGTATATATGTGTGTGTGTGTGTGTGTGTATATAAAATGTATATATATGTATATGTTATGTCCATTTTTATATATGTATATGCATATATATAAAAGCTGTGTGTGTGTCTGTGAGTATACATTTTCAACAGGCCTGTTTTGGATATATGCATGTGCGTGCGTGCGTGTGTGTGTGTGTGTGTGTAAAACAAGATTGTCAAAAATGTCCCAGCTAATTGCATATTTTGTCTGTTTTCCATCAATTTTTTTGTAAAAAACCAAAACCCAAAATATTTCAGTGCTGCAAAGTCAGATTCTGGTACGTGAGAGAAAAGTGGTCCAATCATGTAGTAAATCCCTAGTAAATCCCTAGAGAAGTGATTCTCAACCAAGGTGCTGTGGCACCCTGAGCTGCTTTGAGAGCCTTTCAGTGGTGCTGTGGGATGCTAAACAACGTTATCACTGTTCAGTGTGCAAACATGATTCACAAAATGAACTTTGCGTTTTCACATAGGAATCTATTATATTAAAAACATCCTGACCTGTTTTAGTCTTTTTGAGATCTTAGCAACAGAAGAATTCTTCTATTGTTGTTGTACTGTAGCCAAAAAATGAATGAAAACGAACAGCTGGCACTTTCCAAGGGGTGTCTCAAATCTAACATATAAACAAGATCATCACTATAATTTTTATTATTGTCTTTGCTGTTACAGTTCCTGGTTTTTGTCTCTTCGACTATGAGCACTACACGTGTGTGTGTGTGTGTGTGTGTGTGTGTGTGTGTG